AATACATGTCGAATACAAATACATCGAAAAACATCGTTTGAGAGTTATTGATTATAATACTGTATTCGATTGTTCACTGTACACATATGTACATACATACATACAAATGTATTTGTGTGTGTACGGTAACTGTAAACTTTTGGCATTTTTCGTATGCAATTAACAGCCGTAAATTATCAAAACGAAAGAAGTTTTGCGAGCCAATAACTTGTTGTTGTTGTTTTAAAAATTTTGATTTGAAAACATAGAACACTATTTATTACAATTAAACAACAGTGTTCGATGGCCCACTGCATACATACAAACCTATATATGCATATAAGAATGTATGTACGTACATACATACTTATTGATGTACATATGTACATACTATACATACAGACGTATGTATATATGTATGTACGTATGTAATACATATGGTGCTGGTGTAATTCATAATGCGAAATTCTTTCTAAGGGGAGCAATGTCCCCCCTGCCCAACCTGCGTACGCCCTTGTAGTCCGTTGTCCTAAAATCCCTTATGCCAAATGTACTAAACAAAGAAAAAATAACATCAAAATGTTTATGTTATAATTGTAATAATTTTTAATTAATTAACATTTCTTGCCCTGTCAGTGCAAGACGAATGTACTTTTATACATATGTATGTATGTATATTTGTACATACATTTGTACAAATGAACATTCACACATTAGTGTCTCACATTTTGCTTTGGCTACTTCAACCGTTTGCACGCAACTACACGAACAGCTGCTTGTATATATGTATGTGTGTGTGTATGTATACTTAGTTGTCCCCAACTGTTTGATATTTTGTATTGTTTGTTCTGCCTGCATTTGTAAAATGCATATTTTAAAAATCGTTAAATGCAAAGTTGTAATTTTAGTTACGTAGATTATATTACCCAAATTTGAAATCGATCGGACAAAATTTATAACACAAACTTTTCATTTGAAAAAATGAATAAATATTAAAACCCCAATAATTCAAGCTCCAACACAAATTTCGAAAAACCGAGTATGCAGTTTTGTTTGTATTCTTTTATAGATTATAAAAACCAAATTTAAAGTTGATCGATTCAGAAATGCAGAATTTTCAAACAAACTTTGGAGCTACTTTTCCCCCCTTTGGAATCGAATTTTCCAAAATCCCTTCTTAGTGCGCATCTACACCATGATAGGATACTTGAGCCCAGTTTTCAGTTTCCTAGCTTTTACCGTTTGGGCTGTGGGGTGTTGATTGTGTTTCAATTTTTCCACGGAAAACCCCCCCTTTTTCATGCCCCAGGAAAAATGGTGAAAAAACAATTATACAGTTTTTCTTGTATTCTTTTTGAGAGTATACAAACTAAGTTTGAAGTTAATTGGATGAAAATTGTAGATTTTTCATACAAACGTTGGGGCCCGTTTTCCCCCCTTTGGCGTTCGAATTTTCCAAAACCGCTTCTTAGTGCTCACCTACACCACTGAAGACAACATGTGTCCAATTTTCAGCCTCCTAGCTCTAACCGTTTGGGCTGTGCGTTGATTGCACATAGCTTTTCGTTTACCGAATTTTCCACCGGAAAATCATTATTATTCAGGCCGCAGGAAAAATATTGAAAATCCAAGTATACAGTTTTTTTTGTATTCTTTGTGAGAGTATACAAACTAAGTTTGAAGTTAATCGGATAAAAATTGTAGATTTTTCATACAAACGTTGGAGCTCGTTTTCCCCCCTTTGGAGCTCGAATTTTCCGAAACCCCTTCTTAGTGCTCACTTTCACTATAAGAGGGATCTTGTGTCCAAATTTCAGCTTCCTAGCTCTTACCGTTTGGGCTGTGCGTTGATTGCCAATCAGTCAGTCAGTCAGTCAGTCAGTCAGTCAGTCAGTCAGGACAAACTGTTTTATATATATAGAGATAACGTATGTTTATAAAAAAATGCTTTTCATGCAAGGACTTTGTAATACCTACCCAAAATTTAGTATTAAATGCCCGTATCTATAGCTTTACAAAAGAAAAAACAATGTTGCTCAAAATGATAACGAATTTAAGGAGTGGGTAAAGGATATTTTAGAGTTGAGTCCGCTCGACTCTAGCATTCCTTTCTTGTTCAGTTTGCTTCGCCTCATACCCATTGTAATAAATCAAAACCTTCTCGTTCCTACATATGTAAATATAAATATCTTACAAAGACTTTTAGCTGCAATATCATTGCTGCCATCAGCTTTTTACCACTGAATCTTGCCAGCCTTGTTCATATCATTAATTTTTGCCTTAAAATTCACGCAGTTAACAAATCAAACACGCAACAAATTAATTGAAGTTCGGGCGCGATATTAAATAGATTTTTCTTTCTGTTTTTTGTTTTGTTGTGCTTTATTGAAGCGCATTAGGACGCAAAGACCACAAAAGGGAAACAAGCTTGAGTCTGGTAAGATGCTTTGCCCCAAAGCCTCTACCACCACCACTGCCCCCAACATACTTCTTGCCACGCTGTGGCAAATTAGTAGCTCGTGGGCATTTTAATTGCGTTTGTAATATGGCGCTGGCAGCGACGTCGCCATTTCAAAAAATAAAACAAATTCATTTGTACCCTTTTCACAAAAAAAAGCAACAACAACAACAATAAGAAAACAAAAAACACAAAACGCCGAGAAAAAGCAGCAAAAATTGTTGTAAGAGGTATTTTGGGCACTAAGATGCGGCGCAGGGACTAAATGAGACTTAACTCATTTAATGTGCCTCTAATGGGATACAATTTAAATTTAATTGATTTCGCCAACAAGGCTTGCTGTGAAAGGGGTGTTGCGCTGGTGGTGCTGGTGGAATTTTTTCAAATTAAAAATGCTTTAGAAAAATGGGCAACGCTTTAATAGCGAACACATTAATTTATGTTTGTGGTTTTGTTGGCTGTTGGCTTGCCTGAGAGATGGCATACAAAGCTGACTGAAAGAAGGGGTTGGTGGATGGATGGTTTGTTGGACTGGCAACCTGCTATTGATTAAATATGCAGCGGGCATACCTCAAAAAACGCTCGACTGACAACACTATGTTTTTCAGTGGCTCGCTGATTTATTGGTTTAATGCACCCGGCACAGCCGGCAGCCAAAGTAAAGTCACTATCTCGAGCAGTATGGAAGGTGGCGCCCGCATAAACACGTCGCAACAAACCACAGCAAGGCGCTGGTGGCCCTATCACGGCAGCTCCAGTTCCAGCTCCCAGCAACCAACCAGCCAACGAGCCAACCCAACCAACCGAACCAAGCAGACAACCCAACCAACAATGGCAGCCAGGCGCGAACCTTTGCCGCCCGTAACCATTTCTTAGCTTGGCAGCTAATTTATGTGCGCACGCTGCAAAGAAAATGCTGGCGAAAAGGATACGCGGCATTTTCATAGTGAAAATTATGTTTGAAGTAGCACAACAGAGAGGGATGTGGAAGGGCAGGTCGGGTGGATGCGTCGGGCGCTCCGACAAGGCGGCACAAATGTCAGCGCGCATAAAAATTCGCATTTTAATATTTGCCAGTAAGCTGTGCCCCCCTCCAGCCCCCTGCACCACCCACCACCCGCCTACTTACAAAGCAACCCGACCCCAGGTCGCTCGCTTGTTTGCTTGCCATTTTATCTGTTGCCAACAGCTGGCGTTTGTTTGTGGTGCTGCTGTCGACGTCAGCGTCAACGTCTACGTCAACGTCGACGTTAGCGTTAGCTCCAGCGTCGAGCATTGCGTGTTGACTTTTCTGCCTGAACGAGTACTGCGTACCTTTCCAATGCCTTTCAACTGCAGCTAATTTATTTTATTTGCCATTCAGTCAGTCAGCCAGTCAGTCAGTCGAAAGCCAGCAACTTTGCTGGGGCTGAGCAAAAAGATGCACTACCAAGTCGTCTCTTCAAATATCATAGAAAACAAGCACTACAAAGTGTATTGCATGTCCTCAATCCTCTGCTGCAGGAGCAGCAGTGCTCTTGCTGCTGCCTTCCTCCTGCTGCTGGTGCCATAACTGCATTTGCTGCCAAGTGCTGCGGCGTTAAGGGCCTCATTGCGCTGCTTAAGTACGATTCCGTTTTGCCAGGATGGACAGGCTGTAAATGAGTTTTGACATCTGTAAGCCAAGAAACAAACAAATTGCATTTGTTTGTGGCAGACTTTGAGCTTAAATTACCAGCTGGGTTGGTGCGTGCTCGCACTTGGACCGCAAGTTCAAAAAGGAACACCCACAACACTTCTTCCATGTACATAGTATTTATGGATATGTTCGATTAGGTAAATAAACTTTTTCCAATTTTTATTAAATCTTTTCATCCAAGAAACTTTACTTAAATGCAAAAAATAATAAAGATTGCAAAATGTTCATCGTAGTTTATTACAGAAAATTTTAAAAATGTTGTTATTGGTGTTCAGCTCTTTAGAAATATAACAATTTTTATAAAATAAACATGCTAAAATACGTAAACAAAGTAAAAGGCTAAAATGAAATTTAAAAATAGCTCGGCTGATATATTAAATTGCCATTCAATAAAGATCAAATGTTTGTCAAAGCCAATTTTTATTGTTGAGGTAAGTGCAAATAATGAAAGTCCAATTCATATACTCGTATTTATTTTTGTAAGCAATTTCTATTAAACGACTTGGGTTGTACAAGTTATTAAGTTTTCGAAATCAATCGATTGTTCGGAAACAAATATTATGTAAGCTGTTACTTCTCGACACACTATTCTCATGATTTGAAGAGACTCCTAGCTTTTCTTATTGCTCAAGTTGATCTGTAACATCGGCATTTCTAATTATCAAGACCCCAAAACATGAGATAATAAATTGAGCTGCGAAGTAAGAAGGAGCTGTCACGAGGATTCAATTCAATTTTCAATTGACGCCTTTATAGAGAATAGAAATACAGCTGGTTGGTCGCTTGCTATTGATTTAATGGGCTACTGCCTAATTGCAATGCCTCGCTATCGATAATTGCACAAAAATTGAGAATTGATTTTATAATTATATAAGTAAGTATAATGTTGGTATAATTCCTTCGCCTTGAATTACTTTACTTGCTCTGTTCCGTGTTGCTTATCATCATAGACAAGCTATAGATTATGCGAGTCATCTAGAGTAAGTGGAGCATTGATTATTTTTAAAGTATCAACAAATGTGTAACACTAAACGCACCTCGAGTGCTGTGCTCACAGTCAATGGTATAACGGACATGATTTTGTATGTCTTCGGCTGCTGCGAGGCCATGATCATCAGGCGAACCATTTTGCGTTGATTAACGGTCATGCGATACCAAGAAATGTTGTACATTTCATAGCAGATTTCATCGTTCTGGGTGAAATAAAAAGACACAATTAAATGGGAACGAGGAAAATTGGCCTGTTGTATTATCCTATTAGAATTGATCTGAGCTGTTATTTAAGACACCGACAATGAGTATTTCTATTTGGAGAGCTAACTTAAATATTTGCAAGCCCCACCGAGATATTTTTGATATTATTTCCCTCATCTCCAAATAACTTCTGTTTTGAAATTTAAATTGACTGGACTACTTGTAAGTATAAACTTTATTACGTGTGTATCTCTTCGTTCATATTTTTTGATGTACTATAGTTCCAACAAAACAGACAGAACAGAACCCATGATGACATTTTGAAACAGACATGGGTAGCTCTCCGTTCGAGCTTAAGTACAATTGGAAATTGGTAGAGAAGTGTTTTGCTTAGGCGATATTTTTCTCAAATGTATGCATCTTACGTCATATTCGATTTGTGTGCCAAGTATGCAGTAAACAATCAGGGAGTAGTAGGACAAAGGCAAATAGAAATAGCCCATAGGCCATGGCTCCGAGGTAAGCATAATGAAGATTGAGATGGTGGTAGACATTGCCGATGTCAGCACCTGGGTGGCAACGACATAGTGCGTAAGATCGTTGACAATGTCGTTATACCTATGTGTGTGGAAGGAACATATAGTGTATGAGTACGTATACTACTATCAGATCTCACTTCAGATATAGTTGGTGCCAGCGCACAATGCTCTGGAGTTCGCGCGTGATTGCCAACTCATTGATCTTGTTATTCTCCGGCTCCAATAGGGCATTGATATCGGCCACACGTAGTTTTAGAACCAAGCTAAATAGGCGCGCCTGTATCAGAAATATCAGCACATACAGGTCACCTGCGTATAGTCCAACGCCCGCGATGACAATCGTGACCATTTGCACGACATTCGTGAGATAGAAGCCGGTATTGGTGTCGGGGTCGATACCTGGTATGTGATATTGCAGTACCAGATACCGAGGTCCATCCGTCAGCCAGAGGATAATGGGAAGGCCCAATAAAGAGGCAAAGATGACGAAATAGCCCAGACGTATGAGCTTGATGACGCGCTCCACAGCATCCACACATTTTCCCAGTTCGCGCTCGTACTCCCCGCCCATCTTCTCGTATTTGGCATAAAGCAGCTGGCAAAAGAGCGCTAAGCGACGCATATTTGAGTGCTTTACAATGCCGGTCTCTAGACGTGAGACACACTGTCCACCACTGCCCACCAGTACGCAGTACTTGAGACAGCTCTTCCAGTCAGCTGAGGTGTAGGCCTCCCGTGCGACCGTGAAGATAGAGAAGGACATGAAGATGGTGAGCAGGACAATAGTGAGGCAGGTCAGTGGTTTGTAAACGAACTTCCGCTCCATCACATTGATGCCAATCAACATGGTGATGCGCTTAGCGTCATCCAACACTTTGCTAAAGCGAATCGAAGGTTTCTTCGAGTTGGTGAACATTTTTCAACTCTGAGCGTGCCGCTCCTCATCCAACACTTTTATAGGCTTGGATTGGGCATGGGAAAGGCTCAGTTGTCTACAATTTGCGTAATGAGTTAATGGGCCAAGGTGTTGAAAGGATACTTATCACGCGTTAAGAATTGCAGAGCCATGCGAAGCACTGCAGCTGCCCGGAAAGTGGAAAAATGTTTAAAGCAAATCGTTTAAATTTTCCATTTGAGAGTTCGCAGCAAAACCATTATGCCCATCAAGTCATACAATTGCAATTAATATTTAAAAATTTGCCAGCCACGTCCATTATTTAGCATAATTAAATTGCGCATTAAATTAAGTAAATTATGCAGTACGAAATGGTCATAAATTTGGCGCTTTTTGTCCCGGCCAGAATGTCGAGAAGGCACCTAACTGTTGCTTCAGTCGTCGTCCCTGTTGATTTTTATTAAAAACTTTTTCATATGCAACAACAAAAGCAACAATGCACTTAATTACAGCCGCATTATGATAAAGCAACAATTATTATTATTTGAACCATTTGTATGTAGAAATGCGCATTAATTATGGCTGCTATTAATGTCAACCAGCAAAGGAAAAAACCAAATGAACATATGTATAAAGCAAAAGAAAAAACAAAACAGTAAGCGTTGCGGATATAAAGTACATATGTACGTACGGCTTTATTAAAGTCGTATGCACGCTTGTAAATTGCGAGAGAATCGAATGGCTATGGAATGACTGCCTTATAAGTTCGGAAACTGCAGATCGACGCTTCAATACAAACAATAAGAGAAAAGGACAGTGATGTCAATCAAAAATCATATCGCCATAATCATCATCTCCCACAAATTTAAATAGTAACTTTCAAAAATAACAAAAAGTCAACCAAATGTTCCAAATTAAATTGACAATGTGATAAATACAACACGACGCTGTTGCCAGCGATATACGAGAATATACACATATCTACATATCTATACTAATATTATAAAGAGAAAGATTTGATTGTTTGTATGTTTGTTTGTTTGAATTGAAAAGGCTCCAAATCTACTGGACCGATTTAATGGATTCTTTCACTGTTGGGAAGCTACACTATCGACGGTGAAAATGGGCTATATTATATTTGCAAAAAAGAATGGAATCCTTACTAAAACGCCAATAATGTAACCAAAGGTGTAAAAAAATTAAAAAACTCCTGAATATCATGCTGTTAGTTCATATTCATCCTCGAAACATTGACACTTTAAATATTAAGGTAATATTAATCAAAAGCCCCTAGCCAAATAAAAAATTACAAATCGATCGACACCGTGATTAATATTGAAGACATTTAAATTCACTAAGCCCTTCTGAAATACCGCCACATGAATTGACGGTAAAATTCCGAATTGCAATTATGATTTTGAGAAGTTAAAGCCTCCCAAGCATGTGCAATGGGACGAGGCTGCTTATTAAGGAATTGCAGGACAATTTATCTGTAGCAACTATTATCAACGGCCCAGTAACTGATCAACTAGCTCATATAACGAGGAGACCCAGGATGCCGATGATCCATTCCATTTGATCATTTATATGGCTTGAAATTCCGGTAGTGCCAAGGCCAAGCCTTCGAATTAGTAGGGATTTTGCTACCACAAAATAAGACATCAAATATGTTTCACAGAGAACCTCTGACCCAATAAATAATAACAAAAGAATCTAAAAACGAACAAAAAATCATTAAATAATAATATCCAAAATAAATTTCACTCCTTAGTAACTCATAGCAAAAAAGAAGGGTGTATGTGTGTTAAGTGTCTGTGTGTTATAAAAGGTAAATTTTTAAAATTTTTGTAAAATTTTTTAGTAAAACCAGTAAACAAATTCGGGAATAAAGCAAATTATTTATAGGTTTATAGGTAGTATACTCGTATGTATTGTAACTCAACTAACATTTACATATTAACAAATTACTGTAAGGTAACCATTTATTGTCGGTGTAGAATGTTTTCCACTAAAGTGAAGAAGTTCTATGAATAGTTCTTCGGCTCGCGCATTGCTCTCTTAGATAGATAGTCAGAGAGAGTTATCAAAACACCAACTCTACTTCGTAAACACTGTAAAAATCAAAATACATAGGACTGCTGCTTCGTTCTACATTTCTCAATGAAAAACGTGTACCGACATCCTGAAGGCCACGATAGAAACACACGTTCGACGTGTTATTAGAACTTTGTAGCTACTGTTTGGAGCCCGAAATGAACTATTTTGAATACAATAAATTGCTTTTGCCAAAATGGTTGTTTGTTTTCTTTATTGTTAAAAAAGTTCTTGTACATAATACTAAACTACATAATAGCTGGAATATTGTAAGAACATAATTGTTCATTCGATGAATGGAGGCAGTACAAAGTTGCTACCCGCAAGTCATTGCGACCCCACTTGGCCTTCTTAGTGCGTCGATTATAGTTTTTCAGGCAGACCGAAGTCTGTGTATACTCGTGGTAAAAAGTTCAAGCTAGCTTGAGATCAAGTCATGCCATTATCATTGTTTCATAATGTCACACATCACGTATACGTAACTTCTATAAGCACTCTTTATTAACAGTGTTGTTGTGTGGCAGCTCGGTCATATCCTGAAAATGAATGTGTGCTCATCATTATTAATTTCCAAGCCATAAATTTTTCTTTGCTACACATTCACATTCCAGGCAAAGCCTTACATTTACCCATGCCTTTTACCTTTCCAATGAGCGTCTTTGTCTACCGCTTTTTGTGATTGTTGCTGCTTCTCCTACTCCTCCATCTCCGCTCTCCCACTTCTATTGTTTTGGCCGCACAATAGGCTGGCGCTGGTTTTTAGTGCCCACCATTGTTTATATTTCTGCACTCCTTTTTTCTTGTTGGTGAAAAGTGTTCGGTGCTCGATGTTTGGTGTGTGCAGCAAACCTATAAAATGCAATGGAATTTTATATATCACACCAATATAACGCACCATATAATATTGTTCAAACATTTTTGTGCGGCACGTCAAAAATGCAAAGCGCCATATAAATATATATAGTAGATATATAGTATATATGTACATAGACACCAGTGTATACCGATATGTAGGAATGTAGACATATGGCTAAAGCACCTGAAGCATAAAACTTTACAGCTGTGTGTCACTGCGTTTGATGTTTAATCAATTGAAAATGTATGTGTATGTATGTGTGAGCGTGTGTATGTGTGTGTGTGTGTGTGTGTGTGTGAGATAGGTTGAGGGAGTAAGGAATGTGTGCGTGCAATTGATAGCTGTACATTGCGCACCTTTAGCTGGTTAAGACCCAAAACGCGCGGCAAGTCAATTGCCTGGCCTGACATGCACAGACCTCTGCTGACTTTCCTTTGAGCCTGAGCTTCCGCATTCCCTGTTTGCGCAACACAAACTGCAGGCTCGGCAGATTGTGAAGACTATGTATGCTGTATACGCGGCAGAGACATCTGTTTGCACTCAGAATAACATTAATCGAAAAAGCATTTAGCAATAAAATGCAAAATCAAGTTATTCTCCCAAATAGACTTCGTTTTTTCTTCCAGACTCTTCTGGTTTGCAGACAGTTCAATAACTTGAGTCTAACTCTAGCCGATTACATCGTTTCATCTTCTCATCATACAAGTTGTATTTAAGAGAAGAATTCCAATTAAGAATTAAGACATTTTTCGAACAACTTGCGCTTTATTTATTTACAGTGTAGCGGTAATCTTAAGAAGCTTGCATTTCAGAGGCAACCAAAGTCAGAGTGTGTGTGAGGAAGGGAGGAGGGAGCGGAAGAACACATTAGAAAGATTGCAACGCACCGTTATGTGCGTGTGTGGCTTTGACTTTGGCGCTTACCGCTTGCCGCTGCTTGCCAAGCTCCGCCTGCACGCCTCTCCTTTATTGAAAGCGAATTGAACGCTGGCCTCGTCCTTCGGCCTCACTATCCTCCGGCCCGTTGCCTGGCTCGGCTTCGTTGCCATGCAATGCCGCATGAATAGCTCACAAAGAGGAATAAAAATTACAATATTGCCGGTCCTGGCTATGTTGCTGTTGCTGTTGCGGCTTGGCTTGGCTTGGGTTGCCTTGCCGGCAATGGAAAGCAAACATTGTGCCGCGACGCTTTTACAACACAATGAATGCCAACAAACACACACACACACACATGCACACACACATGCACACATGCATCCACACCTACAGAAGCGGCAGATGATAGTGTGCCTCAAGCCTCGTGCTATTGTAAAAGTGCTGCCATATGTGTGCGAGTTAATATGAGGGAGTATGAGTGTGCCTTTGTATTTGTAGTAGTAGTTGTTGTTTTTGTATTAAAACTTCCTTTAATGGCTTCCGGTTATCATTATTGGCGTAACGTATACCGTATTGTGTTGGCAGCTGCTTCGGCGACTCTCGCCGCCTGCGTGTCCATAAAGATTAAACGCATTGTTCTTTGTTGGTTGATTCTTTTCGTCATGCAAAGGAATTAATATTCGCAATCCATTATCTTTCCTAATAACACTCACACTTATACACACACTCACACATACATACTTATTCTCAACCTCATCACACCACACCACACCACACTACAGAAAGGCCGCTTCGGCTGGTCATTTTTAATATCTCTAATGGGACGTCTTTAAGGCGGCTTTAAGACTTTGGGGGTCACAGAAACCGTTCACAAATATTTCACAACCATCCTCTAGCACGCACCCAACCATTGCTTTTGCTTTGAACTTTTGACCGCAGCCGCCCAGTGGCACAATCAATCAATTTAACGCTTTAAGCTTTTGACAAATATGCAGCCAAGGCTGCGGCGTAAATTCTTTAAAAGAGTCAACAACACACCCACACACACACTCACCCAAAGAAGCACGCATACATTGATAGATTAACTGCCTGGATTTTCATTGTTGTGCATCTTTCGTTTCTGTCCAACTGCCCATGATTGACACACGCACTTGGCCACGCCCCCATCCAGCTGCCTAGTGTCTGCTGCAAAGCT